GGATTGTTGTTGGGGGCGATATGCTGACTCTGTAAACCGCTTAGAGAGGGCTGAAAGCCCTATGAAACGGTATATAAGTCTAACTGCTATTGCTAGTGCTATCTTCTTTTTGAACAAATTCCCCGTTTCCTGCTGACCGGTGGGTGCTAGATTCCCAGTCTTCTGCAATATTTTTTCTCGCTCCTTGTAGGGGATGCCAACATCCACTGGAACAACTGGCAGCCCTGGGTGTGTATGTGCAAGCTTCACAAGCAGGCCCGCATACGGCACTTTGTCGTCTGGGGGGTCAACGTCTCGCTCGACCTGAAGACCTCGGAGTTTTGGCAGGAGAAAGCCTGCTCCTTCGAGGACTGCCATGTTTGCGCCTCGGAAGACTGTCCCGGCAGTGTGGCTCGATCCGGCTTCCTCTCTCGGTTTCAGAGCCTCTCTTCCCCCAGACCCCACGAAGTCAGGATCCCTCTTCCCCCACATCTGGATTTCCCATCCTATGACAGCCTCCCCGTCATGGACGACAAAGATGGGGAGTAGGATGACTTCGGAGGGACGTGACGACGACTTGATAATCGCCCGGGCATCTGTTTCCCACGGCTTGCTTTCCTCCGAGGGGGCTGGACTGCAACACCCATGATCCTTTGCCCTTTGCCGCAGGCCGTGAGAGACAAACAGACACCCCCCCCCCCCAAAAATGAGAATGTTGTGTTTATTCTGTAAGGCAGGAGAGCTGGGCACCAATAAAGGAATTGAAACACTCCTGCTTATGATTAGTTCCTAACTCTCCTTTGCTTTTATCTTCAGCTTCTAAAGGTAAAGGTTCTCCTCGCACATATCTGCTAGTCGTTCCCAACTCTAGAGGGCAGTGCTCATCTCCATTTCAAAGCCAAAGAGCCAGTGCTGTCCGAAGATGTCTCTGGGGTCATGTGGCTGGCATGACTCAACGCCAAAGGCGCACAAAATGCTGGTACCATCCCACCAAAGGTGGCCCCCCGTTTTTCTACTTTCATTTTTTAAGTGCTTTTGAACTGCTAGGTTGGCAGAAGCTGGGACGAGTAACGGGAGGGATTCGAACCGCCGAACTGCCGACCTTTCTGATCGACAAGCTCAGCGTCTTAGCCACTGAGCCATCACGTCAGTTTCTAGCTCAGCCCTAAATAAAATAAAAACTAGGCTGTTCTCAATCATGGAGACCATTTTCTGCCTTTGGGCACGTTCCCCGAATGAATAAACTTTGGAACACCCGGGCTGCAAATTCACATCTGCTCCTAAAACGGCTCATTGTTTTGAGCAAAATTGCAGCATTTAACCTTCCATCTCCTTGGCCTCAAATCTGAAGCCGAGAGTTTGAGAGTTTTGTTTGCCAATTGTAACGAAATGTTTGCTTTTTCCTTTGGAATTGCCTAGCGCTCTTGCATTATCGGGCGCGGTAAAAGAAATCCTGTGGTCATTAGAGTTACTGATTAAATTTAATTTCCATTTGGCTTTAAAGAAAACAAACACATCCACTCGTCCCACGTGAGCTTAAAGGGTGGGACTTTCTGGGAGAGTTTAAACAAAGCAATTACTCTTGCTAGGACAAAGCACTTTTATAAAAGCAGCTGTCAAATCCACAGATGTGCAGTTAAAGGCAAGGCTGCTCGTCCGTATTGCTGAGAGAGCGCTGCGTTTCTCCCTCGGCCGAATTCTGCAAAAAAAAAAAAATTCCCATGGATGATTTGCAACTTGTGAAGGAAGCCGGCAAACCGATGGACCGATCTGAGATTTCTGGAGAGACGTCTGGAACGGATGATGGTCCGAGAATCGAGGGCTGCTCCATTCAAGAGGAAAGTCCCTGCAATAAAGCGGTGGATCTAGAACTCAGAAATCCAGACAATGAGACTTCGGCATCTTCGCATCCCGTTGCCGTGTCAGTGTCGCCCTCCGTGCCTCTACAGCCGTGCCCGTTGATAGTCTCTGCCACTGACATGACCTGCCTCATCTGTTTCCATCAATTCAGCCTCGCCCGGCTGCCCAAAGTCCTGGCGTGCCAGCATGCCTTCTGCGCCGTGTGCCTGCAGGTGATCTTGCGGCAAGAAGATCACATCTGGATCGTCAGCTGTCCCCTCTGCCGAAAAGCCACGGTGGTATTCGGGGGTCTCGTCTGCAGCCTCCGCAACTTACAGCATGTCATGGAGCGGTTGGGGGCCCCGGATCCAGAGGCAGAGATCGCTGTCGGGGTGTGGCACAGCCAGCAGCCTTCTTCCCCCGAAATACAATCTCAGGACTCAGCCGAGATCAACCAGGCTGCCATCAAGAGACTGATTCTGCTGCTTCTGCTCGTATCGGTCCTGATCGTCTTCATCCTCCCATTCACTGAGACTGGGCTGTTGACGTGGTTCCTTTGTTTTTTGGTGGTTTTAGGCGGCATAATCTGCGCTGTGCTTTGCTGGGACCCCAGTTGGAGCCGCCCGAGTTTTTCGCTGCCCCTCTGGACAAAGAAGGTCAATCAAGCGGCCTGAGAATGACCTTTCTTGGCTTCTTCTAGGAAGGGTCACCAGCCCCTTGGAAAGCTTTGGTGCTGGAGCAGACAAGACCAAAGGGGTGGCTGGACAGGTGTTGGGGTTGGGTGGGTTCGGATGAGGCGTAAGGTAAAGGTTCCCCTTGCATATATGTGCTAGCTGTTTCTGGCTCTAGGGGGCGGTGCTCATCTCCCTTTCAAAACCGAAGAGCCAGTGCTGTCCGAAGATGTCTCCATGGCATTGTGGCCAGCGTGACTAAACAGCGAAGGCGCACATCACGCTGTTCCCTTCCCACCAAAGGTGGTCCCTATTTTTCTACTTGCATTTTTAACGTGCTTTCGAACTGCTAAGTTGGCAGAAGCTGGGACAAGTCACGGGAGCTCACTCCNGGGGCTGTTTTGGGCCTTTTTCAAGCTGTTTTTCAGGCTGCTTTTTGGCTGTTTTGGGCCTTTTCCAGGCTGTTTTTCTGGCTGGTTTTGGGCTGTTTGCGGCCTTTTTCAGGCTGGTTTTGGCTGTTTTCCAGGCTGTTTTGGGGCTGTTTTGGGCCTTTTTCAGGCTGTTTTTCAGGCTGTTTTTGGCCGTTTTTCGGGCTGTTTGGGGGCTGTTTTTGGCCCAAAATAACGATCTGGAAAATGGCCCCCAAAACTGCCTGTTTTTGGCTGTTTTTGGCCTTTTTTCCGGGCTGTTTTCAGGCTATTTTCCGGTGTTCTGGCACCCACGAAAACCAGCTGTCAGAAACCAGAAGAGCAGCTGTCGACAGCGCGCGTGCCCACAGAGAGGGCTCTGCATGCCACCTCTAGCACGCGTGCCAGAGGTTTGCCATCAACGGCCTAGAAAGTTAGAATCCACATCGCTGCAGGAAAGCTCAGAAGCCTCCCTAGGAGGAAGCAGTCTATCTCTAGGAAGGAGGGATGCTTTCACAGCCCGCTGGCTCACCCCACCTGTTGAATAAAGGATGCTGAGAGATGCAGAGATTCTTCTCGCATTCTTATTTTGGTGTTTCTGTGTCCTTTGGCAGGAATAAGACGGACATGTCTGCTGATCCCCGGCCAGGCTGGAGGCCCTGGAGAAGCCGGCCGAAGGAGGAAGAAGACACAGCGCTAAGGACAGGTCCAGGCACACAGTTGGGTGAGCCGGGGAAATATGCCTATGCTGCTCTCTGTGCGGTTTCCTTGGCCTCGTTGTTTCCGGATCAGGAAGAAAGGTGAGCGGCCTCCTTACTGGTTTTCCTCCTAGCTCTTGAGAAAGCATCACAACAGAAAATTCAAAGGGTGTTTAGTTTGGCCTCTGCTCGGATTATTGAGGCAAAAAGAGCTGGTTTGGATAGAAAAAGAGAGATTTATGCCTATGTCAGGTTTCAGCAAAAGCTGAAAAGGCCAGAGCTGGGTTAGCATTTTATAGAAGAGGAAGGCGATTGACGGACATTTAAGGCTAAACATTGTTGTCAGAGTTTGTTCCAGCAATCACATCCAGAAAGCACACACGGGAAACTGATTTCAGCAGGATTCATTAACGTCTCTTTATACACATGAAATAAGTAAGTAAAATCTTTATTACGGTCAAAGACCAGCAATACACATTAGTTTTTACACTATATTAAAA